AAATGGAAGCATAAGGATGCCTGAGGACAGGCGGAGACGGGCATCGGCCGCAATGCAGGCTATCGAGAGAAAGGTTGTGGGAATAGTCACCGAAACGTACCTGTCAGTATCCAGTGAAACAGCCATCCCCGTGGGAACATGGCAGATATTTTGGACATAGTAACGAAGGACACATGAGGAATATGACCGGTAAGGTATTGTACATGCAGTATGGGTACGTTGTGAAATAGGAGGTGAACTAAGAAGATTCATGTACATACCGGAATTCCATGTAACATCACCATGCCGCGGCATCAATTACTGGTGAGGAGGAGGTAGAAGGCGGTGTGTTTACGGATTCCTGAACGCCGGTGGAACATTGGAACGCTGTGAAGTGGAAAGCAGGCAGATGTGCTCATATAAGTATAGTAAGTTCACAAATATCCCTAGAAAGGAGCCGCGGCAGTAAACCGGACACTAACACTAGCCGTCTAGCGTCTACTACGCCGCAGCAAGGCACTTCGATTGTGTGTGAATGGCAAGCGGTATGCATCACACACACCACTGCATGAAGAGGAGAGAACACCTGAACACGCAATCATGCAGCAACTTACCCCCTGTTACTTACACGTGTCCTTGTGTGACTTATTGCACCTGCATTCGTTAACGGAAATGAGTTTCACTGATCAAGACGGAACACTACGAAGGCATGCTATCATTATCGGTTGTGTAGAACTTACCTGCGTTTCTAACAGCATATCTGCAAGCTTTCGTTTTCCCGTTAAGCAATGCAGAAAAAACATTTGAAACCTTCGCCACCATCATAATCACAGCAGGACTGGTGAAACCAATAAAAGCAGTGGTCACACTTCACAAAATCCACCGTGTTACTGTGGCTGGATGTGTCCTCTGAACGCAGGCATTTGGCGCATTTGTCTCCCTCAACCATCCCCGGTGCAGATAAAGCATCGCGCTTTATGGAAGCGCACTTGTATAAGCTGATGGGTTTGGTCCTCACCGTTCGGAAAAGTGCACCGCGCGGCAACGTATCCGCAAGTCACACCTCTGTCCGTCGGAGTACCAGAGGGGATTTGCGCCTTCCGGAAGGTGTTTTGGAGCAGCAACCCTGCTCCGTCGCTGCCTTCGCCGGCACGTTAACCCCAACAGGAAGACACGGAACCACGGAGGACGTCCCCGTTTAACAACCAAGGGCAAAATGCTCTCATCGTTATCCAAAGGTAAGGAAGCATCGCAGTGTCTGGTTTTGCAGAAAAGTTGCACATCCTTTCAAGCACTAAGACCTCGCAGAAACGCCTCAGAGAGCTGATCATCCCCTGAAATTTAGTCGCCGACATCGTGCATATGTGTGTCTTCCATTCCGCTAACACCTCCGCAGTACGCAATTTCGTCGCTCGATCCAAAATCAGTGCTTGGAAAGTGGTTGCCATTTCCGATGCGCCTAACTCTGTAGCCTCCGTGAACTCAATGGCAGCTACTATTACGGAGAATCAGGTATGCACCACCGGTAACCCCGAACCAACTCCGCCAAATCCGCGCGCTGATCTCAAGCCACGTAGCACACGTGCGCACACATCTGCCAGTGATTCTGGCGGATTCTGCTCCGTCACGACGTACCAAGCAAGTACGGTTAACCACACGCCGCCTGCACTCAACCGCAACAGCCGTACCCTCAGGACAGCATCCGATTTGTCCTCCGCTGACAAGTTTCTCATTAACTGCTCCCGAGCGTACGGCGTCAAGTGTACCAGTAAGCCGGTGAGCCGGCAAACTTTTACTGGAGGAACATAGGGGCTCAACTGGCATCTCGCTAACTACGTCCGACTCTCTTCCATAACCCGATGCACACGATCAAGCACCGCAGGGAACAGCTGAAGTACGGAGGACCATTCACTAAGTTGGCGCTTAAGCTGCCGGTTTTCGTTTTCCACCATGTTTGTCGTGAAACAACCAAAGGTACACACCTTCCGCAATCTATGCGCTGTCCATGATGAGGAAAACGGTATCCATGTGCGCATTAAGTAATCATAGCATTCCGCATTTCGCAATTCTATGGCGTGCAGCAGTTTTACGAAGTAGTCCTCATCTCTGCTGTATAGCATTTTATGCAACCATCGCCGCAAAATTGTCCTATCCTCCGGGGACGCATCATGCAGGTTTGAGCAACGTCTATCCATGTCTCCCGTCGCATGAATTCGACACAATACCACATGCGTTTGAGGGTACACAGATTGAAATGCACCTACTTGAGCTACACATTTATCCAGCACCACAGTCATTGAACGCGATGTGGCAGGAACCATACCAAGCATCACCTCCACAGCTTCCCTGTAACACTATGATGTCTCAATAGGCATTAAAGCGTGGAAAAAAGACATTGCAACACCAGCCACGTTTACGAACGTGCGGTGCCACAGAATATACCCCCACGGTTGATTTGGTGCGTCGCATCAGCCAACAGTACCTCACAGTAGCGCTGCACCAAGCCTTCTATGCATGAAGGCGCAAAACACATGGACCTACTTTGAGCATTATTCCTCTGCACACGGCACTTCCCATGCTACTCCAACAAACGAACCACCTGAAAAACCTCGCCGTTAGTGTTACGCATGTGCCGCCGCCTCGTGTACCACAAATTCGCCTTCGTCATCCGCCGGCCATAAGTCCGCTGCAAATGAGTCCTTATTTCGCGGTTTCCTTTAAATGTGTCCATTAAGCTACAGACCTCCGACTCTTGCTCAGCAGTTAAACAACCATGGCTGACAAAATTGAAAACTATGTGTGTGCTCCAGGTTAAAGTTTCAACGCTCATACAGTTGTCCTTTCAAACTAACTGAGAACCATGCAAGGCAGCGGCAATCACGAAATCGGTGGAATCAAGGATTTAGTTATCCAGCATATACACATGTGACGTACCGCTTCCCAACTGCTCCTTCGCGCGTAGAAAGTACGCACCGAAATTGTACATACCACTACGGAAAGCTTTCGGCGGTCTTCCCACCAGTTCTCTTCAAATGCTTCTTCAAAGTATCCGCACGACATTTGAAAAAACTACGCAGTCGCAAACTGAGTGTTGCGAATCGTTTCTACCACTTCCTGTCAGCTTTTATAACGGTGGCAAACCATACGGAAAAAACAGCGGTGTCATCCAACACGGCGCTCGAGAATCAATCAGGCCCTCACCATTTAACCACATTTAAAACAGTGCGGACATAACCACAAATTAATCTTACCAAATGCCATTTCCCGTACATGCTTACGCATTAACCTCACCATATATATCTCAGTCGCATCTCGTTAAGATGGCATCAAAATGTAGCCTGGCGTACCGGGACACCGTCCCTCCAGGCCCATTTTTCCATGTCAAAAATTAGCCCCTTCCATTAAGGAGGTTTCGCACATTCAACCAACCGCGCGCAGTTTGTAATGTAACGTCATAGAACTTGGCGTCAAATTGGATAGGATAGGCCACACAAAATATTCAACATTGTTTTTTGCCGTTCATTTTAATAGTGGTTTATATTAGTGTACCTTCTTAGTATTTTTATTTCACGACTTTTGTCTGTATCTGGAATGTAACCCAAAGCGGTGAATAAATAGGCTTAGTTACACCTGCAATCCGCATCGACAGAAACAAACAGAAATATTGCTAATGTGGTAGATTACTTTTTAATCGCAGCATCCTACTCCATTAATTAAAGCCGTTTTATCAAGCATGGATAAGGCTCTTGAGTAACGTCTGTGGCCAACCACTCATGCAAGGCTAACACTGTGACTTTCACGCAAGCCTAAACTACTTAGATATTTTTAGAAAGCACACTCTTTAACCTAGATACTTGAAGCTCAATACAGAGCAGGGATGTTGTTTCCGCACACAGGATCCTTGTGAGTTATCTCGATGAAGTCGATTGCTTTCTAGGTCTGGCAATGGTGTCCCCTCGGAATAACAGCCAAAAATACCTTAAGCTGTGGAGTTTATCCTTCGATGAATGAAGCGAAAAGCGGTGCGCGCTGGTTGCCGAAGTCGTCGCAATAGAAAAGGAGAGAGCCTATTGAGACAAACAGTTGTGCCAAATATCTGATCGCAGTTGAAGGGTATCAGATCATAAGGAATGTGGTGACCCAATCGGAGGAGAGATGTGCCGCACAGGGGAACACAAGCCACCACCATCGTCGTAGTCATCGCCAACAATGTCATCCATAACGACAATGCATCAGTACTGTGTACTGGTGCTTCTGATGTGTCGGACTGCTAGAGTTGGTCCACCCACAGTAAGAAAGAGAAGAGGAGTACGTGGCAAGGTGCAGACCGGCAGAGACCAGAGCCAGACTTGAGTTAAATTGCACTGAAACACGTCGTTATAGTTGTAGCTCGATCGATCATGGGTGTTGACCCCAGGTCAACACTAGTCTGTTGGTCGATAGTTTTCCAGTGTATTGCGATTTGACTCTTGGGCATTAACTGGTTCGGACCTCATGGCCTACGCTTGTTCTGACAGAGATTGGTCGATCCACGCTCGAGAAATGGCAACGTTCTTAGCACCTTCAGTGCCACACAACCATAAATGCACTAACGGTGGAGAAGGAAAAAGGGGAAAAACATAGCCCGGTGTAAAACCAAGTGCCCTAAACAGGCATTCAGGATCGGGACGAGCACACACTGCCAAGACAGTGAAATCACAGGGAGGTGGGTATCGGCTAAGAATGAAGCACTAAGAGTGAGAAAGATTTCCCAGTGCCCTTGCTGTTGCGTGATATGATCAAGTCCAAACTGGACACTGTGCGTGGGAAAGATACATCCGATGAAGTCATGAGGAAAGAGGAAAAGTGCATCGGATTAAAGATACGTGCAGAATGCGCTGACGCAGCAATTTGCATTTCTCATATGACCTCAAGCAGAGTTTCCAAAGATGCAATGGTGGTGCGCAATTAGAAGTGGAATAGTCTCATGTGTTAACTAATTCAACGCGATTACCAAGTGTAAAGAAAACCATGGGAATAACTCACAGTGACTCGCGATCACGTAATTGAGCCCTTGTCCGATTGAGTTGATCTTCCAGTGCGGATTGTTGTGTGCGGAGCTACAAATAGACATTGCACAAGTGGTTGGGTATTAATACCAGAGAGAGATGGAGTCATATGTGAGACGAAAAGTCAATTAATTAATCAACGGCTAAATTCGAGTAAGCTGCACGCGGGTAGATGGACCAATGAGAGAGTATTCACAAGGAGCATAGTAGGGCTATTTCAAATAAACTAATAAGTGATTGTAATTGGGGTTTTGTGTACAATAGAATAATGGTGTATTGGAGGTAAAAAAGCAGTGCTCAAAAGTCCCATGGGATGAAAAGTATGGACAAAATAAACATTCATGATAAAGAGAAAAAGGTTTTGGTGGACTCAACATAGACATATGTAGATAAGCGGAGTTGTTCGCGTGGTAAAAGTATAAACCAATAAATCCACTGGTAGGGATTTTGGAAACACCGTTTATCTGTGTTTAGTAGCCCCATAGATAACACAAGTAACTAAAATGAAATGCCAGTAGGACAACGCATCGTCAAGTAGTTTTCTGAATATCTTTAGATTATAGGCAGTGACAAGAGAATTTGTGAGTGTTCCACAGTTGACACACTCAGAGAGAAATTTGTACGGCATTCCAGCCGGCTATACTGCCTCATCAGTTTCAGACGATGATCTCTTAAGCTGGTGTTGTGGTGTAGTTCCAGCAGCGGGTGGCAAATGCGGTTTGGGATCCGGACCTTACCGTAGTGCAATGGTTTGTGTGCCTCAGTGATCAATTGAGCTATGCTGGGTGGTGCTTTCGTACCTTCAGACTCACTCATACCAGATTGGTCAATGGCTAGAGGCCAGACAAACTCAGCCTCCTGGTCCTCCAAGTTCGGGGTTGGAATGAGGGTGGTTCCTTATTCCTTAAAACGGACTCCCTGTAGCCCAACGCCAAACCCGCTGCCTTGCGGCCAGGTTTCTGAACCAAAGACTTTGGTTGAGAACCCTAATCGTCCTCCTGTCTAGGCCTGGGTGACCTGACAGTATCCTGCCCGCGCAATACAATGAATCTCTCTTCAAACAAATTTCTGATGCTCTGGCCACCGCAGAGGATAATCAACGGTGCCCTATCTGCTGCATTGAGCAGGGTGGATAGGGGTTTGGATGCTACTGCTCAAGCCCTCCTGTCTTCTTATTCCCTCTCTTACGCTTTTCACTCTTACCGTCCCGTTCCAACTTCACTGTTATCCCCCAGTTTTCAACCCCCCGGATTCTTGGCCCTCCCCCAACATGCTTTGCTAGGCATTTATCTTCTAATTGCAACTCACATGCTAACGCGGAGCGTCACACGTCTCCTGTCGACAAAACCACATCTAACCAAGCGGTCCATTCCAGTTCATCGGCTTCCATTTGGAGCCTTCGATCATCCTTCAGATTGGCATAACTCAATGTTCGCACACTGCTTCAGATCGGTCAACAGGCAGCACTTGCCCGAACATTGGAGACTCCCTCGATCGATATCTGCTGCTTATCAGAGACCCGCCTGTAAGACTCGAGCACTGTGCTCACTCTGTGATCCCCTTCAGGTGACGCAAGCAGTATTTTCTCATCGCGCCCATCCCTTGATTATGCAGCTTCGAGCACCGGCCAAGCTGGTGCTGGCATTGCCCTGAGTCCCCGGGCTGAAGCTACTCTGGTTGATTGGATTCCAATCAGTAGCTGGATGTGTGCGGTCCGATTGGCTGACTCGTTCAAAGCTTCGAAGTCGTGCGAGACTAACAGGTGCCTAGTTAACATCGCTGCCTACGTACCCACAAACTGTAGCGACGATTCGGTAAAGAACGACTTCTACTGCCAGCTGACCCAGCTTCTTCGCCACAGAAGAAGCTCGGATACTGTTGTGCTGGCGGGGGGTCTGAACGCACAAGTTGGAAAGTTGTCCACTGATGAAATGCATCTGGGCGGTCAGCACGGTAAAGGCTCCCGTAATGATAACAGTGAGTGGTTACTTCATTTATGTGAAGATGCTCGCTTATTTCTTGCGAGCACTAATTTCCGATACAGCACCCTTCGGAGAAGGACTTGGCGCCCATCAGCCTCGAACCAGCCTTGGACGCAAATCGATCACATTGCGATAAGTTACCGCTGGAGAGGCTGCGTCCAGAATTGTCGCTCGATTTGGAGCACATGTGTGGCCACCGATCATGCACTTGTATGTGCTGACATGTGGATGCGTTTTGGCGGACGCCCACGACGGCGCTGTGAGCGCACTGACACCAGCCAACTGACAAAGCCAGGTGTTCTGAATGCCTATCGAAGTACGCTGATATGCGAGTTGAGTAGGCGGGCGCTGCAGACAACTGAAAATCATTGGTCACATGTTCACCGGACCTTACTAGCAGCAGGCAAATCCTCATGTGGTAACTCTAATAGTCAACATGGACATTGCGTCTCATCGCGACCTTTGGAAATTATCGACGCTCGCCGGCATATCCCAACTGGAAGCGAACACAATGAAATTCGCAAAGAGCTCCGGGTAAGACTCCGTGCTAGGCTGAAGAGAGACCGCGACTCTTGTTGGTCTCTTCGTGCGTCAGAAATAGAAGTGGCCACTGCCCTTGGTAACCATTGCAAGTTATTCCGTCTGATACGGGAAACGGGCAGCAGGAGACCTGGTGTTAGTGAAACGATTTGTGACGAGAGTGGACAGCCTATCCACAATTTGTCAAAACGTTTGGAGCGTTGGGCTGAGCATTTTGGAAAGCAATTTAATCGGCCGGAATTGTTCGATTTCTCGCCGGCCACTGATCGCCCTGCTCCGTGGGCTGTCCCTTTGGATCCACCCACTTCCTCAGAAGTCGAACGTGAGATCGGACTGTTGAAATTGAACAAAGGCGCGGGACCAGATGATCTTCCTCCAGCCCTCTTCAAATTCGGAGGCTCTGCTTTTGTTGATGCTTTACATGAATTAATAGTGAAATTGTGGGGGCAGGAAAATGTCCCCACCGACTGGAGCCGCTCCGTTAGTGTTCCCATCTTCAAAGGCGGCTCGCGCTCGGAAGGCGGCAACTATAGTGGAATCAGTCTGATCTCCATCGCATCCAAATTACTCGCCTCCATAATCCTTCACAGACTGACTGGCACTCGTGAAAGCCAGATTCGTGTGCAGCAAGCCGGGCTTCGTCATGGTCGTGGCTGCATCGACCACATCTTCACCTTGCGTCAGTTGTTGAAGCACCGGCACACATATTGGCGGCCCACCCTAGTCGTGTTCCTCGACATCAAAGGTGCCTTCGATTCGATTGATCGATGTGCGCTCTGGAACTGTCTACTCAGGAAAGGTGTGCCCGAGAAATATGTAAATATTATCCAAGCATTATATGCGCGTAGCACGGGCAGAGAGAGGACTTACGGCAACCTGTCGCCACCCTTCAATATCTCCAGCGGTGTGAGACAAGGATGCCCGCTGTCACCTTTCCTCTTCAATTTCGCTATTGACGAAGCCATGGAGTTTGCATTTACAGGACATGACTTGGAAAGTGTGGAGCTACTCCCAGGAGATCGACTTCTCGACTAGGAGTATGCAGACGACATTGCCCTCATCTGTGACAGCTCCCAGACGTGCCAACCTACACTAGACAGATTAGCACTGGCTGTCAGCCGCTTCAAAGTTTGCTTTGCACCATCAAAGTGCAAAGCGTTCCTCCAAGATTGGCAGCGATTGCCTCTTGCGCTGACACTTGGTGGGGATCAGCTAGAAGTCGTTCGGAAATTCAACTACCTAGGAAGTTGTATCAGCGCCCTTGGGATTGAAAATGAGATCACAAACCGCATAGCAAAAGCTCGAAGTGCTTCTGCTAACCTTCGCCACCTATGGCAGTAGCGCGACATCACTCTCGCCCTGAAGGGTAGAGTGCACAATGCAGCGGTACGTTCGACCTTACTGTACGGTTGTGAAACCTGGCCGCTTAAAGCAGCGGGCATAAACAGACTAGTTACGTTCGACCATCAATGCCTTCGCAGTTTGGCTCACGTCTGGTGGGAACACCGCGTGAGCAACGAGCGTGTTCGACGCCTTGTTTATGGCACAGGAAAAGGAACTGAACCGCTCAGCACCATCATTTTACGCACCAGGCTCCGATGGCTTGGCCACGTGTTGCGCACGCTAGCCCTCTGACTTCCGCGAAGTGCGTTGTTTGCTCACCGGGGGTGTGGATGGAAGAAGAAGAGGTGTGGCCAAGCGATGACTTGGTCGAGAGGAATGAAGGCCCACACTTCGGAGCTGGCCTCGGTTGGAGCTTCACGGCTACCTGGTTGGGGTCCAAAAGACGGTGAACACGTTTGGCTGAATACACTTGCTGACATGGCAAGGAGCCGACCTCAGTGGCGTTCGTGTTGTGAGTTTCTTTGTCCCCTTCCCACATCCCTTTTAGTCTCCGCTCCAACCACGATCTCATTTCGTAGTGTAATATAATTTTACATCATGATTTTTCTTGTTGCCCAGTAGCCGGCTGGTAGCTTACCGGAACGATGCCCATCCGTTGCTGGCAGCTCAGCTGGCATGCAACTGTTGTATTTATTTTAATTTGCTATTTTGTATTTCGGCACAATAGCTGTTCTTTACACCTCTAGCTAACGTGTATAATGATGATGATGATGACAATCACAAAAACCGGATTGTTAGAGTTAGAGCCAAGCTAACCCGAGTAGAACCTCGGTTTTTGAAAACTAAAGCCAGACGGCGCCACGGAACTGTGTTCGAACTTGTTACTGTGGCACAAAAAGCGGACCAACTTTATAGTCCGAGTAGAGTGTACAACTGACTACAGGTGGGTATACAGTGTTGGCACATTTTCACCAAAACCCACTGATCTTATGTTTGTTTTGTGTAACAGAACATTGTTCTTGTCGCCTGGCCCATACAATATGTAACACATGTGAAAAAACCCACCTCCGTGAAATCACACACGTTTCGGTTATTGCATATAGTAGTTTTGTGCTATTGGCACTTGCCAAGACACTCGCCAAGACACGCTAGTTGACCAGTATAGTGTGTTCTGACAATACAACGACACATTAGTCAGGAGTCGATGAGAACCCAACTTAATTGATCCTCCTCGTACGAACATAAGCCGCATGGTACCCTGAGTGGATTGCTTTCAAGATCGAATGGCAAAATGAAGCAACTTAATCTACTCGGAAGACTACAGCGAATGTGATAGGCACTAAATCGGACAAATGGGAAGAAGGTTTTCCATTCGTTTGTTTCTATACATGATGGTGAACCAGGTTATGATTTTGAGCTGGAAAACGGATAGATTATAGTAGGTGAAAATACGAAGCAGACAAGAGAATTCTTAGGAGCATGGAACTCCTCGAACAATGGACTCAATCGACACTGAATTGGACGCCATCCACCAAAAACCAAGAGCAAGGAACATCGACCGAAAGATAGCATATTCAGATGCAGCAGCAGCAGCGGCAGCAGAAGCGATACAAGTTAGCCTAGGGTGACAGACACAGCTCAGCTAATGTGCCGCAATACAAGAAGATAAGAAATTAAACAATATAAACTAATGGGTTGAAGAGACCAGTTTTAAAGGTCACCAGTCCAGACCACCAAATGTCGATGACCTAGGAAAAAGCATACGCGTCACTACGCGGTTCACATCTACTTATGTAGTGCTCCGCTAAGCTACTAATTAACGCACTGATGAGGTCATCTCGACTGGTGACGGAAGGTTTGCAACAAAATTGTTAAGGTCAGCGAACAGTTGGTTTAACAAATGACAGTGTTCTCTCATTACTGAAGGTAACTCGTTCCACGTCAAACCGGTAGACTGTCGCGTCGCACAATGATGCATTAAGGGGGAAGGTCATAGACGTTAATTCAATCTCCGATGAGAACGCTTAGGCAAAGCTTATCTGAGGGCAAACCTTTGAACCGTCTGGCATGAATATTCCTGATATCACTTGGGGGTCAGCAGCGTTACCAAATGAGTTTTTGAGACACGCTGTCGCAACGCGTTACGACTTAAGCTTCTCGCGACAAGCTTCATTCCTACAAACGTGCTTGGAGTTATCGTGGATAAAAACAGAGGGCAGGAAAGCAAAAGATGTAGTTGTAGGACAACACATACTGTGCGACAAGTTGAACTTACCGTGGCGATTTCTTGCTGATGCAGCCATAGAGGCACAGAGGAACTGCAGTTCGTCGACTGTGGATCCGGAAAAGGTGCAGCCGGCAGAGTAGAAGTGGAATCAACGTCTGACAATGCAGGATGTAATGGAGTCAAAGGTTTTACAGTGGTTTGTTTCAGGCTGCGAGAGTGAGAGAGTAAATCGCTGTAGGAACGACGGGGACAAGAGTTTGATGCTGACGATGCTGGATGGACAGGACCATTGAAAAGATTTGAAAATGAGTTACTGCGTCGCGGAATTTGTTTAGACTGGAACACGTTCGGTGGTCTGATAGGATCCCTGTGTTGTGCATCCGAAGTGACGTTCCTGCAACAGTTAGAGTAAGTGATAAAATCGGGTAATCTTTGAGGCAAAATGTCCAGGTTGATTGACTCCCGACAGTGGCTAGAAGCTGCTCGTTGGTTGTCATCGCATGACGTTGAAGGGTGGATGTCTGGCAGGGGCATGTTGAGAGGGAAGGTCGTTCGGAGAGTAGGCGGGTTTGAGGTGTAATCTGAGTAGGATGAGGTAGACACCTCAGGCATCGAACGGGAATTGCATGGAAAAGAGATTGATGGTGGGATGGTGCCATGTGGACTAAGAGACTGTGAAGTAGTTCGATTCAAATCAGGAACAACTGGAGGAGTCGCATGTGTGTTTGGATTTTGAACACAATCAGGAAGTTCACCATGAACCAAAATACTGTTCGCGTCTGTACATACTAGCTGCACCGGATGGCGTGGCCGTTCAGGGTGTTCCAAAAAGCGTTTAAAAGAATATGGATTCATGACATAGAGCTGTAAATAAAAGATAATGTAATGCGATGAATCAGCAGACATTAGGTCAATAGGAGCGAAACCATGAAAATGTTTTGTTACACGTTGAAATTGATGGAAGACAAAATAGGAAACGAACAAATGAAAATATCCGATATACCAAACAATAGTAAATGGACTTCAGCAGCAGACATAATACGGGCGGAAGAACATAAAAACTGGCTTCGTTGCTTCACTGTCAAGCAAACCACTGGTGCAAAAACTTAGGAGAAAAATCATGTGATATTAAATGAGCTAGGATGATAAAACTGTAAAAGCTAGAGAACTGGAGGTAGCTGGGCGACATTCCTCGCATTCCGGAGCAGCGAACGTTTTGGTTCAGTCCAGTTTATCTATCTCGATCCGTGCACCGAGGTGCGATTGGGCCGGTTTGTCTTCACACCATTCGTCAAATCAATAATAATAATAATCTCAAAAGAAATGGGAAATGACTGAAATCGTAAGAAACGGTCAAGAGTTGAGAGTGAGGGAACGAATGCAGAAGTGCCACTGACCCCATGATCATGTGGTGGACGTGTTGTCTGCATATCCGGAACCGAAAACCGACGTGAACCGAAAGCACTCACTCCGCCCGATGAACGCATGTGGCTCCTCTCAAGTAGTGCACCAGTTTGACGTGAGTAGCTTAAGTGAAACTAAACGCTGTACATCACGAGCTAGCGGGTTTGTAACTCAACTGAAGGATAGGATGGAAAACAGCCATGAACTCCGACTCCCGGACGAAGTGTGCTCTACCCACACTTCTCATCTGTTTCGGGATCCTCCCAGCTAAAATGGCAGTAAACCGCCTTTGAGACCGCTATTCGCATCCGTATATAAGGTAGTTTCCTTAGAGCCCAGGGGTCCAATTCACACGAGAACCGGATACGGTCGAACGTGCTCTCACACAATGACATGTTGGAGGTGATGTACGTCGTCCCGGGAAATCGAACGTAATGTAAAAAAGCGTGCTGCATTAGTGAAAAAAGTGGCACCAGTACGCCAGTGTTTTGCAATGCGATTCGCTGTCATCAGTTGCAGGTGGTAGGACGACAGCTTGGACACTGAAAAACCTCCCAATCCTGGTGAGCACTGAGATAAGAATCTTGGAGTGAAAATTAAAAAGGTTGTCCCTATAGAGATCAGAGTGATGGCTTGTTGAATCCGTGGTATCGAAATTGAGTAAAATAGATATGCGAAACCAAGAAGAATCCTAGTTACATAGTAATGATTAACTGGAAGTAAAAAAAGCCGCTAATGACGCGATGCCTCGTGATGTTCCAACGCGCCCTCCGACGGAAGTTTGAAAACGATCAGACGTATAGTGATAAGCCTAATTACATAACCAAAGTTAAAAAAATTAGGACACTGTGGATGACAATAGTAGTATAAATGTTCCAGCAGTGTCAGTTATCAGCTGCGACGATCGCCACATCAGCAGTATGATATTCTGGGGAGAAAATTTCAACACCCCACCTGGAACTAACTAAGAGGAACGCTGCCCTGGACACAGGGTAACCACGGTACCATCAACCAAGGATGATCAGTGGCCGATTGGAGTAAGGCATTTATCTTTTAATTCGCAGGTCGCTGGTTCGAAATTGCGAGCATTCTCCCAGTATCCGTAGCCCGTGCGACTGGCGGTCATCGCGCGGCAGAGAAGCGCGATACGAAGAAAAAAAGAAAGAAAGGCATCAGTAGCAGTACGCCGGTACGCAGTATCGACGTTTCGCTGACGCACGACCACCGCCGGTCGCACGTGGGCTAAGGATACTGTGAGGGTCGCCCTGCCCCCACGCAGACTGGAACCTGTGCCGACAGATTACAAGACAAGCTCGTTACCCTCAGCCTACGGGCCAGGGTAGTGCTCATATCCCTCCTTCATCCAAGGAGAGTGTATACTGTAGAAAAACTGTCGGTCGAACCGAAACACCTAACTTCTCTTAGACTAAGTCCTAAGAAGCGTCCACATCTAGCTCGTCGCAGCCACCCAACTGAAGTCATCGAATTACACCACCTAAACAACAGCGGTAGCAAGCTGACCCCGAAAGCCAGCCATTACTGACGAACAGAGTGACATATAACCCAAATATATGAAATATAACCCACAATCACTTTCGTATTGTTATTTATCACAAGCTTTTCGTACTGCTTTTCAGCCTACTCACCTAAGTCTATTGCTGAACAAAGCTATACTCCTCATCGGGTGTGGTTCTGCCTCATCTATTCATATAACAATTTATTCAGTAACTAATGGACCGAATCCTCCGACCGGAACGTTTCGATGATGATCCCAACAATGTCAAGGCAGCGAAACAGTGGGCCAACTGGTTTGATGATTGTACTTACTTCCGGGCGTCGTTGATTTCATAAGGTTTAACAAATTAAGGATTCCTGCGATTTACGAATCGCCTAATGTGAACGATTACATTAAGAAGTGTGTGACCTACGAACTTGCCATCGAAACACTGAAGAATGTATACATTAAGCCGAAAAATGGAAACTTCGCTCGCCACCTACTAGTTACCAGCAAGAAAGAAGAGAACGAAACTCTAAAGCACTACATGCAGAAGTTGTAGTCAATTGGCCAGGATTGTAACTTCAAATCGCCAACTGCAGAGGAAAATCGTGAGGACACGATACGAGATGCCTTTGTAAGTGTGCTGCAGTCTAAAACGACCCGTCGGCGTCTCTTGTAAAATGTGTCACTTGATCACCACGTTGCTTTTGAACAGGCCCGATCCCAAGAAATGGCCTACAGCCAAGTCACAGCCATATCGATTGGAAAACACCTCCAGTGCATCTATCACATGCCAGTCAAAATCAATGCAAACAAGATGACTCATCAGCCTCTGGTTAGAATGTCACTGCTGCCATCATACAACAAATTTTTTCTGTGGGTTCAAGAGACATTGTGGGTCTCAATGCCCTGCAGGTGACGCTGTTAGTAACACTTGTGTAACGAAAAGATACTATCAGAAGATCTGCCGTTCTTCCACCAAAAACCGCTTCAGTAGTTCAATCGTATCTCTGCAGTCCGCTGTAGCCACTCCAAACAGTCGCTTTCAAATGGCTAGCAACAATGAAGTCAACCAGAGACTCCTTGGACAATCAACTACTACCAGAAATGAGCGTAATGAAACGTACCATCAATGTGGGGAGCTCCGAAAGCTACAATGCCGCCGCGGTTGTCAAACAACGCGACTAGAAAACGGTCAGTGCTCAGCTAACTAGTTTCACGAGCGATCATTGTGTTGCTGATGTTCACCAATACTAAACTTTTTGCACTCTCAAACCTATGTTCAGTGGTACTTCTGGAACACGATTTTCTGAAACTTCACGGATTTTTGAAAATTTCGTTCTTCGGTGTACAACCTCCCCTCATCCTGTGTGCTTCATTACCCGCCGATGTGTCATCTCCCTCCTTGTTCGGAAACGATTTTTCCACTCATTCTCACTCGGTGTGTTTCTGCCTCGCCTATCCATCAACAGATGGTGGATGTGTCTAGTACCGGTTAAAGTTGCCCCAAGTAGCTAAAAATACACTTCAAGTCATGTGCTATCTCAACCCAAACGACCCGAAAAATGGTCGTATTATCGAGATGCCGGCTGATTAGATATAAGATCGGAAATTATTGAATAGGGTAGTTTACTTCAGGATGTTCAAAAGACGGTGGCTAACGAGTTATCATAAGGTTTACAGCATTATTGGATAGTGGTGGTAAGTAGAATGGAGCAACGCTGAGTTACTGAGAACATACGAGCACTGTTACATTGTATAGGAAGCTGTGTACCAAAGATATTCGAAGTCGGCCAATCAGTTAGTCAGTACTACAAATAACCAATGTATTCTCAAACCTGCTAAATGAAAGTAGAGTAAAAAAAGCAGATGGGTCGAAACAGCTGTGTCAATATCGATACGTGAAAACACACAGGGTACCAACCCCTGATCACGAGTATCGCTTCGAGGCAACAATAAACACGAACTGTTAATACGGGACAGAGCATCTGGCACCGAGGATTTGCATCCACTCTCACTAAAAGACAAAATGATACAAGCACAGCTGGTTAGGTCACCTGCCCCGCTACGTTATGGAGTACGGATGAAATTAGTTCTGCTGTTAAACATCTGAATGCTGAAGAAAAAATATTACTGGAATTTACTTTGAGGGACATGCAGACGGTAAGTGTGCATTATTGATAGCAATAAAGCGGAATAGCTGTAGCTCGGGTTGTCTGTTCAGGTTTAGGTTTATTCTCCGAGCTGAACTATTTCGTTGCATTATTATTGATGTTTATGAGAATTAAAATGCTAAGTCCGATATCTTACCTACTGAGAAAACACCGATTGATTCAGATGGACCAGCTATTTTTCCAGCAGGTGTTCTTCTGAAAGCACCATCTGTTTAACGACGGTCCAGTTATATCGTTTATAGATCACGCGTTAGTCCTTCGGCATCTTTAAGGTTCTCGGATCGAATCGTAGTGGGACACCTCTTCATCAGCAAGTCCGCTGCGCACAACAATGTCTTCAAACCAGTATCCGGTAGTCCTGGGCCAAGCGTTCTTTGTTGCCTCCCTAGACACGAGTCACTTACGTTTGATGGCGATCCAGATCGATACTGGATTTTTATGTGTTGCATCGAGGCAAACGTTATAATAGTGACTTCCGACTAGACAATCAGACTTTCAAAATCCATACAATACTATTACGGTGAAGCCAAGCAGGCGAGTACTGTTTAATCCCCGATCTTGTTGAAGATTTTCATGAAGCAGAGTATCTTACGCAAGCGCTTCGGCAGTCCTCGTGTGATATCCATATCGACCCATAGCATATTGACTCATTAATTGATGACCTGAACATCAGGCCAAACGAGTTCATTGTTTTGTCCAGTTTATTTGGGGACCTCGGATCAGGCCACATAGCATTAAAACAGTAGAAACATGAAATCAATTCAAGTGCATCGAGAACCATTAGTTCCATTGTCAAAAGGCCTCCTAACCATTTGCAGTTTAAGTGGGCT